GTCGCCGTGGTGGGTGGCGTTCAACCCCAATTCGGTTACACCCCCAAAACAATACTTGCATCAGGCCTTATTTGAGTCCGCTCTTATTTCTCTCCACTACAATACTTGCATCGGGCCTTTTGCACTTTCTCAACATCACAAATAAACTTAATGTAATGATCTCAAACTTGCAATCTAATAGGTACTTGTCTTTTAGATTTCTTTTTATCTCGACCAGAAGCATTTTCGTCATCTAAATCTTCGACCTCATTATGAATATGTAATGGATTAATTTCCGATTACGTAGTCGGCCGTTCATGTTCTCGTTTTGCATGTTGTAGACCTTCACTCGACATATGCACTGCAAGATAAAACATTAAAAATTTATTAGATGTTGCTATACTTGATTACAAATACAAGCAGTAGAGTAAAACGTATTGTTACATACACAGGTTGATAAAAACAAAAGAATTACCAAATTTGTTGCACAAAAATAACTAATCACAAAAAAATAAAAAGAGACAGTAACCAATATTACATAATTAATTAATTATGTAATTAATTAACCAATTAAATACCACAAAAAGTTTTAATTAATTAAACTCAATTTACTCAGTACCAATTAAACACAAAAACCTAAACAGAGTAACAGGTTGAAAACAACTACTCGAATGGGGAAGAACTAATTCGGAGATTCATCTGATTAGTTTACTTTAATCTGATTAGCACGATTATGGGCATTCATCTGATATAGAAAATAGATTGGATATTATTTTTCCTTGCCCTCGAATGGTGAAAAACTAATTCGGAAAAAGAATAAAGACCAAATTGGGGGAAATTAAAGAGTGAAGAACTCACCAATTCAGAGAACTGAGGACCGCCGTTCGGCCTTCAGGGCACCAAAGAAGAAACTGGAAATTGGAATTGGTGGAGAAGGAGAAGACATTAGAATAACTGAGGAATTCTTTTCTTCAATGGCGTGCCCTATTTTTTCTCGTATGTTTTATGTGTTTTTTATTTTCTTTTACCTTTTTTTTTCTTATAAAATTATATATATAAGATTTTTTACAAAAATAAAACTGGGCTTGGACCGGGCTTAGGTGCAATCGTAAATGGGCTCAATTTGTGAGAATTATTTTTTGAGACGGGTAACCGGGTAGAATTCCTGATACTCGAACCCGACCCGATTTGTGGGCACCCGGTGCCCGAACCCAGAAAAACCCGATTAATTCAAAAATTACTCGATCCGGTTGGGTAAAACTCGACCAGGTCGGGTCATAACCTGAATAAACCGACCTGAATGCCCTCCCCTACTTCTAGCCCTCATTTGAGTAAGGGTTAATTGTGTTCCAGGAGATAGCAAGTCAGGTGGTGTATAACTGTTGCCTTTGATGGGTCCAAGAACTAGAGCTAAATGTGCTATTAATGCAATTAAAACTAAGGTCGTTAAATGGGAGTTAGAATACATTCTTCAGCTTTGTTTGCAAGAAGTGGATTCTTATTTTCAATTTAAGCACGTAGTTCGTCAAAAGAATACGGTGGCAGATCGATTAGCTAATTAGGCGTATAATCACCAATCAAGTCAATAATATTTTACCC